TCTTCCTGCGGAGCCTGCGCTCGGTGCCTGACCCTTCTCCCCCCCCCCGCCAGAGAACTACGAGCGCCTGGAGGCGGACAAGAAGAAGCAGGTCCACAAGCGGCGGCGCTGCGACGGCCCCACCATCCGCTACCACTCCGTGCTCATGCCCCTGCTGTCCGACACGCACCTCAAGGAGGAGAACGTGGACGTGGAAGGGTGAGGCGGGGGGGGGCGCATCGCCCATCGCTGACTGGCTCCTGGGCTGGATTTGGGAGTGGGGGGGTCGCTGTGTTGAGGTCGTCCAGGTTGCTCGTGCTTGTGATCCGGAATTTAGCCGGGGCCTGGGTGGGGTAGCGTACCTCTTCGGACCGCAGTCGGTCCTAAAGTGTCTCCACTAAAAGCCGAGGGGGACGGGGTCCGTCGTTCTCCGGTGCGCCCCTTTTCCCCCGGGGGTGGCCGACGGGGCGGTTGCACTGTGTGTCACAGGGGGGCTGCGGCAGCTCCGCGCCACGAGGCGACCAGGGGGGGGGCACCGCATGCGGGGTGCAGAGCACGGTCAAGGGTAGCTACAGCAGGGGTGGTGGAGGATTGCCCAGCCGTGAGCCCGAACCCCGAACCCCGAACCCCGATCCCTACCCGCGGGGGGTGCCAGACACACGCCTACAGCGCCGTGTTGTCTTGTAGGGAAGGCCGGTGCTGTTGCTGATGGGCGGAGGTGTAGGCACGGGTGGCACAGGCGGTCTGGCGTGTGTGAACCCGCAGGTTTTGGGGGGGGACAGGGACAGGGACAGGGGGTGCTGCTTGTTAACCGTCATGACTCCCTCCCCCTGCAGGCTGGACCAGGACACCCAGCAGCCGGCGGCGCCGCCCCCTCTCGCCCCCACGCTCTCGGAGCCCCCGCAGCAGGCCGCCCAGCCCCCCGGGGGGAAGTGCGCCCGCGCCTTCATCACCTTCAGCGACGACGACACCTTCCAGGGCGTCTTCCCCCGGCCGCGGCCCCTGCGGCCGCCGGCCCGCGAGATCTGCCCCGTCACGCACAAGCCGGCCCTCTACCGCGACCCCATCACCGACATCCCCTACGCCAACATCCGGGCCTTCAAGATCATCCGCGAGGCCTACAAGAAGTACGTGGCCGCCCACGGGCTCCCCAACACCAGCGGCAGCCTCCCGGGGGACCCCGGGGCCCGGGGCCCCCGCCAAAAGATCATCATTAAGCAGAGCATGTCCGCCACATAGCTGGGCTGCTGTCGGGGGGGGGGTGGAGGGACAGCGGAGAAAAGACTGCTGGGACGGATGGGATGGCGATAGGATCCACATGAACTCTTGACAGCGGCCCTGTGCCTTCGCCGGCGTAGGCTTCCCTCGGGCTCCATCACCCCAAACCCCTACGCACCCCCGGGGGTCACCCTGTCCAGCTCTGTGGGCTGCCATCCGCCTGCTGACCCGGCTGCTCGGGCATTGCGAAGGGGAATGCGTTCAAGACCAAGTGTTGAGAAAACCACAGCACAGGCCATT